CAAGTAGTCCATCATCCACATGCACTGTAGCTGCTTGATTGTCGCCTCCATACACAACTGGGCACGCTGCGTTTCCTGACAAACCGCACTCTTTCAAGTCTCCTGACAACTCATCGTGCCAGTAAACTGGGGCCATTTGTTGGCCCGGCAAACACTTCCACACCCGGTACACCACATCATCCAAGCGAATGTACAACTCCTCACGTTGGCGTACCATCAGGAATGCATCTGACACATCGAACGATCTCAGTATCCAATTAGGAGTACTGACAAACATGTGTGGTAGTAGACGAAGCATCGACGGGCATGTCGATGGAGCATAGGTGTCCTGTCTGTACGGACTCCAGATCTTCAGTTGTGTACAGACCAAACGGTCTCTTCTGACCCACTGTTGCTGCCTGAATCTCCAGTCGTAGACATAACGGCACTTGAGGGTTTGCTGAAACGGCGGGTCGATGTCCATAGCCTCCAGGACTCCCATTTCCAGCAGACGAGACAACTCCCGTTGTCTAGATTCAGCTTCCACTTTGCCCAACTGCTCTCCACTCACCATTGGTGCCACAAAGTACTCTGTATCACCCACCTTGACTGCTCTGACTTTCTTTGCAGGTGGGTCCTCCCCACTTGTCTGAGATCCATCTCTTTTCTCTCCACGAGCTTCGTCCTTGTCGTCTGGTGCAGAGCTTGGAGCTTGTGGTGACTTATTATGCGTTGGTGATGAACCTGAGTCTCGTTCGCGCTTGGATCCCCTGGGATCCCCTCCTGGCTTCTCATCTCCACTATCCGAAGATAGCGACTCAGACCGCGAACCTTCGGTCGCAGGATCCGACCCGGCTTCATCACCAGGACCTTCTCCATCTGGCGGCGGCAACGAATGAACTGGAATGGGCAGACCAACCATGGGCTCCGGTCGCGGCTTACGGTCACGTAATCCTGGAACTAACTTCAATCCCATAGTTGCCAATCCATACCGCCACGGTTTACCTTGAACTTCTTTCTTTGAGCATGATACGATCCCACTGTCACGATTCAGGAAGACGCTTCAACGTAGGCGACAAGTATACTCCAAGTGCTGCGCCACAAATGTTGAGGTCATTCAACATGGTTTTGCCCAAGAACACACCCTGGGCAAACTTCGGCCGGCCGTTCTTACGGTGAGGTTCTGCGAGGCTGAAGAGGACAGTCTCGCCCCACATAGCCAAGCGACCATTGTACTTCACCTGGAAGCAGGTTCATACGGTGTATTGCCGGCTGAGACTGCAAACAATTGTGAAGGGTCGCTGCGTGAACATAGGCACATGGGATCAACTCGGGGTTGACATGGAGCTCAAATCCATGCTGCTTCACTTGCTGTAAGAGAGTACTGCCAATGTCCCGCAAACCCAACACGGCCTGTTCTGCTGCTCCGTTGGTCTGGTGTTCATAGGGCTGCGAAGGGGTTTTCCTGGTAGCTAAGCCAGCTTTGTTTCGGGCATTCACTACCTTGTCACACAAAGCAACCATTGGGGGCTCATTGTCACCTCGGATCTCCACTTCTGTTCTTCCTAGATACGACAAGAACCCAAGAACTTCTTTGGCAGCATGATGAATAGATGCAGTGTCCTTGGTAGGTAGCGGTACAGCATGAAGCATACCTGTGTCTCGATCTACACAAACCAACACCAAAATCTTCTTCTCCTTGTCTGCCGACGGGAAATCACTGCGCATGAACTCCAGTTCTGAACCTTCCACCGAGCTATACATCAAATCCATGCTAAGCACAGGCCACCCACCATCACCACGGTGAACTTCACTTCCTTGTTGGTGGGCATCTTTGCGTCCCCTCGTCGACACACAAATAGGGCACCATGACTTGTAGGGAACATGGGACAAATTGTGACTTGCAACTTCTTCTGCTGAGGGTTCAGGAGGTACTGTAGCTGGGCGAGGATCACGTTCAGGTAATTTGGCGGCTTCAAACAAAGCTAAATCATCTTCCATCTTCCTACGCCAAATATGTCTCACCAACCTCTTGTACAAAACTGTCTTGGAACCCTTTGCATGCCAACTTCAACTCTGCTGCTGACGACTCTGGTGACAACCGTTTCCCTTCGACTTCAACTTCATCTGGAATCTCTCTCTCTCCAATTGCACTCCAGGAACCACGGGTCTTGCATCAGGTTGCACGTCCTCTGCCTCCATGTTGGTGTCATCAGGCATCCCTTCATCAGCTTGAAGTCCAGCATCAACCTGAGGAGGAGGTGAACCGAGCAAAGGATTTGGGGCTTCCAATTCCAGTTGAAAACCAAACTGTTCCGGCTCCACAATCACCAGACAAGTCGTGACTCTCCACCGGCTCTCCAGTTTCAGCATCCAACTTGTCTGCATCTGAACTACTATCATAGTGTTCACATTCATCACTGACATGGTAACACCACCACGACTCCCAGGAATCCCAAGCCTCATCGGCAAACTCCTCGAAATTCTCAACACCTTCCAAAGGAAACTGAAGTGCATCTATGTCATCCGTCAGGTTGAAGACACGTTTCACCGTTGCGGTTGCCGTGGACTGAGACGACACACTCGGAGTGCCTGCATGGGAACTCGTGGAAGGGGCTCCGGTCTGGGGACCAGGTCCAGGGTTGTTCACCTGATTCACCTTTTTCAGCCAACACTCATTGCTCCAATGACCTGGTTTCCCACAAATCTTGCAGTTGTTGTACGGGACCGAGTTCTTGCCCTTGCCTTTGCCCTTCATGTTGTCGTTGTGGGATCCTTTTGACTTACCTTTACCGTCTTTACCACCCTTTTGGGAACCTTTAGACTTGCCGAACTTGCCCTTCGAGTAGTCCTGGGTGTAGTGCCTCCCTTTTCCTTCGTTGTCTTTACCACCTTTAGGAGGATATTGTTGACGCCAAACATCCCCTCCTTTGCCTTTGCCCTTAGGGTTCTTGCCCTTGGAATTCCAAACCTGATCAACATCCATGGGGGCTGCGGCTGAGGTGTCCGTGGCACTCGATGAGGGGCCAGACACCAGCTGTGTTGTCCACTTCTGTGTTGCACGCTCGTACCGCAGAAAGACCTCTCTCAATTGATCGTACGTAGCGCTTTCACTGCAGTTCACACTCACATGCGTACGTAACGAAGCGGGCAACGACCGCAACAATATCGCTGCTTTCAACTCTGAATCCACAGTTTTGCTTGACGCCTGTTCATACTTTCTGCACAACTCCTCAAGCTTCAGGATCTGCTCATGATAGTTCGAATTGGTCATCATCGGAAACTGAGATATTGCGCCGAGGAGCGCCAGAGACCGAGCCTTGGAGCTCGGTGCCAAAGTGCGAACCAAGGTTCTCCAAACCTCGCACCCGTTATTGTCCGTGATGGCCTTCAACATCTGCACTGGACGCTCTCTCAGAAGACTCGCAAGCAAAGCGTACAACTGCTTTGACATCTCTACCTCTTCACCAGACAGGATAGAGTGAACATTTGCAACCTCCAAATCTGCTTTGCACTGACTCAAGCAAATCATGCATGTTTGGACTGATCACTCGGACGTATTGTTTGAATTGCCAACTCCATTCTGAAAACTGCGATAATTCTTCTTCACGATCTTTGGGTTTGAAGACGTCGGGTTTTGCAATCACGCGCGACCACATGCCAGATTAATTGGTATTGCGTCTAGACAAAATGCCCAGCGTCGCAGTCATCTGCCTTGTTTGATCCGCGCTCTGCAAAACCGCACGCGACAACAAGTCCACTACTACCTCCAACTGCGAAGCAGCGCCAGCTGTAGGACTTGTAGGACCAGGACCAGCTGTTGGACTTGTAGGCTGAAAAGGGTTGGTAGCTTGAGGTAGCTGGGGTCCATCTGAACCACTCCCCATTGCTACTCTATATCGATGACACCCTCGGCGGTCCGAAGCTTGCCCTCGAAGGTTCTTTTCCTGGAACTCCTCTTGGTAGACCGACGGGAACTATGTGAGGTACTCGAAAGTGTAAAACCAAACTCCTCTTGAACCAACTGCTCCAAAGCTTTATTGCGCCAAGTAGTCTCAGCTGCAAGTAGCTCGGACTCGGTGTTCTCGGGAGGAGGTTTGTGGTCCTCGACGGGGTGCAAAGTTAGTTGCCTCGACCAGGGAAAAGTCAACGCACAACGGCTCTTCAGAATCTCTGTCGCAGATATGAAGATATAGGTATGCCTCTAGATTCCACGGTTTCAGCAAGGTAGCTGCACACTGAACCACTTCTTCTGGTGTAGAGCACACACTCACTTTAGCCAATCCGGAAGCGATAGCCCTCGATTGACGCTTTTGCCAAGCTGATTGTGAAAGTCCTTCGGGCTTCTCTGTCTGATGGTCCTCCAGCACTTGCTCACGCACGAAAATCTGTAAAGCTTCGGCCAGACTCTCGATTCCAGCTGCAGTAGCCGTTTGGAACGCCAGGTAAGCTACTGTCGCACAGCAGCGGTTCACACCGAGCCAGCAGCCGCAGCGCCAAAGAGCACAGTAGAACTATGCTTTGAGGCACGGAGGAACACACACTTGGGCACTACTCTACACACACACCAACACACACACAGCTACCGGCTTTTGCACCTTGGTGGTTCGGGTCCTGACCACCAGCGAGAGCAGCGTCCAGACCCAAAGGAATGAATCGGTCTGCTCCGCTACCATGCAAAAACACACGATTCTTTCACTTCAAGCACAAAAGCCTTCAGGTCTCGCAGTTTGCTCAATCGGGAAAACATGAGCTACGAGGGACATTTAATGCTTTGCAGAACGACTGAATATAGTAGACCTCTGTCGAAGGGTTATGAACCTGACGTGCCTCGCAGCGTGTACCCATGCCGGCAACCATCCACTCAGGCTTGCCTCTTGTGATATCTACGGCCTACTCTGATATCTAGTGCTTGACCTTTACCTAGGGTCGGCAAGAGATGCCGGGGACCTTCTTGTTTCGTGACTTGCTACAAGAGAGACCTTCATGGCGAAGTCCAGCCCTCGCAACTCGCGCGGATCCTTGAACCAGCTCAGGTTGGAGTAGGAGCACGTCGAGCCTCGGATGACAGAGCCCGCGATCCCACTCCTTCGGCTCCGCGGAACCCTGAACCTTAAACCCTGGGCCCGGCCGCCTGGGGGCGTCGCAGACGCCATGGGTCTCAAAAAAGCCGGGGCTCCGGGCGTACCCAGCGCCGCGCGGCGGCGGCCTGCCGCGAAACTACGGCTCCGATGGGGAGCAAGCGGAGGCGTTTTCCGAGAGACACTCTACGAACAGATCTGTATAACTGTATTTATGTATGTATGTATGTATGTATGTATGTATGTATATAAATATAATATAGATAGTCAGAAATATATATATATATATATATACATATATATATATATGGTACCC